AGCACTGTGCTATGACTCTGTAAAGCACTTGCTTACTCTCACCTGGTGTCTCCCAGCCGGGTCCATCCTCACCCATATCTGCACCTTTCCCACCCAGCCCTACCTGGCAGTTTCTGGAAGATAGCAGGCTGTATAGTCCCTGTCTATTGAGTTGAATCATTGTCCCTTCAAAGTCAGCTCCAGACTCGTCTCTAAGGTGCTAGTGGGTGACTCTCACCTGTTGGAGGGATGCTGGAGCTGTGCCCGACAGTCCTCAGAGAGGGACCGCAAGCCTGCCAGGAAGTCCTGGCATCTGAGTGTATTACGCTGAGAATTCCTGAGACTGGCAAAATGGCAGGAGAGATATACAAATGGCCAAAAAGCACATAAAATATTCCTAGTCATTAGTCAAAATATCATTAGTCATAAGGAAAATGTAAATCCAAACCACAGTGAGATACCAGTTCATACCCACTGGGATGACTATCGTCAAAAAGACAGGACAACCGCTGGTGAGGTGAGGCTGTGGAGAAACTGGAGCCCTCATTACTGCTGGTGGGAATATAAAGTGGTACGATTGCTCTGGAAGACAGTCCAGCTGTTCCTCATAAAGTTAAACATAGAGTTAGCATGCGACCAGCCATTCCACTCCTAGGTACATACCTAAGAGAATCAAAAGTGTATGCTCACACAAAAACATGTACCTGAATTAGCATTATTTGAAATAGCCAAAAGGGAGAGGTAACCCAAATATCTATCAACTGGTGAATGGATAAATAAGATGTGACATATCCATTTCATGGAATATTATTTGGCCATAAAAGCTAACAAAAAATCGATACAGGTTACAAGATGGATAAACCTTGAAGGCATTATGATGAGTAAAAGGAGCCAGTGATGAAAGACCACATTACTTGCTTCCATTTATAAGAAATTTCCAAAACAGGCCAAAATGATTTCTTAGGGCCGGGACAGGTGGTTCGGGAGGTTTAGGGGAGTGATAGCTTAAGGGTACAAGGTTTGTTTTTGAGGTGATGAAAATGTTCTAAAATTGATTGTGTTAGTTGTGCAACTCCGTGAATATACTAAAGTCCATTCAATTGTAGGCTTTAAATGGGTGAATTGTGCGGTATTTGAATTGTATGTCAATCAATCTGTTACCAGGAAAGAAAATAAAGGCAAGAGAAGATGTATTGCTGCAATATAAGCATATTAAGACTTATATTATATGCATATTAATATAAGCAATATAAGACTTCAGTGTACGTGCTGAACTGCTTTTCACAGAAGAAGATGTCTTGTAACACTGTCCCTCTCAGCCTTAGCCTAACACCTTTCCCACACGTGATATTTTTTTCCAGGAAAGAACAAATACAAGTACTGACAGATCTGTATAAAGTCATTTATTTAAAGATGAAAGCTTTTATTTCTTTTTTATGATTTGGCTACCTTTTACTTTCTAAGAGAATTAAAATGACTCAGCTTGCATTTGGATTTTTTTTTGGCCACTGGGATAAGACAGTTCTTTCCGTGTTGGTGCATGCATTCATTTATTCAATCAGTCACAGCAAATATTTATTGTACATCAGTGTTTTAAGAGCTGAAGAGCCAGAAATAAAAGTTTCTACCTTCAGGGAGCTTAAAGTACAAGGGGGGAGACATGCAAGTGAGCAGGTAGCAGCTACGTACTATGATGGGGGAGGCTCTGTACACATAGGGGAGACCCTGTAACCCAACTAGAGGTAATCAGGGAACGTGTATCAGGAAGAGGTGACCTGTTGGAAGGAAAGTAGGAGTTGGTCAGAAAGGACATTTTAGGTCAAGGGAGCTGCATGAATGGTCTGGGGTGCTTCAGGGAACTGTGAGAGTTCAGTCCAGGGCCTCAACATGGCACGTAAGAGCTCTGGTCAGAGGAGGCAGACATGGAGGGCCTCCTACGCCACGCAAAGGCATTTGGCTTTATTCTACAGGTGATTGGAAGGTCTGGTTTTATTTTAATTTTAAAAAGGTCAAGGCTGCTTGATGGATGGAGATTAGATTGGAGGGGAGTGAAAACATGAGTGCCTAGGGCTAAAATGAGATTTAAGGAGGGGAATTAGGTAGAAGGATGAATGTGCTACAGAGTCAAGGATGCACCTGGAGCTCTGGCTTGGATACCCTGGTGTGTGGTGGTGCCTGTTGGTGAGATAGGAGGGGATGTGCAGGCATTTGTCAGTCATTCTTGAGGAGGCTGCACTGAGGCTGAGCTATCCGTGCCTACATAAGCAGACCTGGATCACATGCTGGAAAGTGACAGAAGTGTTCTGAATCTGCCATCAGCCAGCAGTCTGCCTTCCCTAGCCCCACTGCATAACAGCCCCACTGTTACAGCCCCTCAGGGGCCTGGGCTCATGGCATGCCAGGCTCTTTTGCTTCTCTGGACTTTCGGTTCCCTGCTGTCTATATGAGATAGATTTATTGATGTTTACACTCCCTTCATGCTCTGATATTCTGCCATTCTGTGTGTTGGGAGTTACACATTTGCACAATTCCCTCTTTGAATGATTTACATAATCATTTCAGAATTCATTTCTGATCAATAAAATATCTTACTTTCACTTCTTCTATCTACATAATTTTTTCTCTTTTATTTCTTAACTTTAATATTGCCTGTATTTCCATTATTAGATGCCACCTTAAAATCTCTGCAAGTAGATGGGACCTGAGATATAAATAAGTCAATAAAAATGTGTGAATTAAAATTTTGATTAAAGTAATTTTTGGCAAGTTCATGACATCCCTTGAGATAACTGAGAAGGATACCAGGGAGCACCACAAAACCACATCTCAGAATTACTGCCTTATAGTCTTGCTGTCCATGGTTAGATGATGCCAAAAGCTTAGATTTCAGAGTTGCTGTTTCTAGCCCCCCACGACCTTTCATGCATTAATCTCTGAACATTCAGATTTCCTGGGGTGCTGTGTTGGGAAAGGCTCTTCCCAAAGCAAAGACTCTTCTAGAATGCAGGTGCCCATTCCTAGTATTTCAGGCTCCTCCCACCTTTATGTGTCAGGACCTCTTCTCTTAATTTCTTAGCCTAGTTCTGAAAATCCACAAGGAGAATATTTTGCAAAATGGACCCGGGTGTTGGCTGCAGCAGTCGGGTTATAGAATGGCATGTATGAAGATAAAAGGCCTCTTCCACTTCCCTCTGAGAGTTTTTGGTCCCTCTCTTTTATAACACCATAATTATATCACGACCAGGCAAGAAAACCAAGTCATCTCCCACCAGATTTGCAGTCTCTCCACTGGGCAGCCAGGACAGGATGGAGGGCTTCTGGGAGGCTGGGCCTCCCGCCCAGCGGGCTGGTAGACGGGGCAGCAATGTTGTTGAACAGTTCTCCAGGGAAGGGAGTGCTGGGATCAGATTGAAGGAAAAGGAGAAACCTTCAGGGTGTCTGTTTTTCTGTATCTCCCTTTTCTCAAGAATGGACATTCTGTCCCTGCACGCTTCCTTCTCGTGGATGATTTTAAGTCGCTTTGCCCTGTTGGGTTTTTGCTAAGACTGTCACAGAATTGACAAACGAGAAATGTCAACGTTGGAAGGTCCAATCCAAATACATGAATTTCATCCTAGAGAGCAGGAATTATGCCTTCATCACTTTTATATCTCCAGTGCTGGTCTCAGTGCTGGCACTGTGCTCAGCAGTCTCTGTGAACATTTGCTAAGGGAGTGGATGGATGAATCACAGAATGACCAATCTCGTTTACCAGTGAGGAGGCGACTTCTGACCTGCCTTCCCCCATTGGCCACTGGTTCTTCAAGGCACAAGTGGTGTGTCTTAGCCATGTCTGTACCCACAGGCCAGCCCAGTGTCACAGGTGGCCGGCGAGTGAATAAACACCTGACCGCTTTGCTGATGTGGCCTCTCCAGGCCTGGGTCTGGCAGTCTTTCATCCAGGGCCTTCCCTGGCCCCGGGCTGCACAGGGGGCTTCTTACCTTCACTACTGTGAGTTAAGGGTAGAACTGAACTCATTAAAGGAGAAAAAAAGAAAACTTTATCAAGGAGGGTCTGTGATAAACAGAAATGTGATAATAATCTTACAGTGTGTGAGTGATGTGGTCATTTGTTACTATTGACATTTCTCATTTACTGACTATAAAGCAGTAATCCCTAGACGTGGTTTTGTAGTGCTCCCATTTTTCTCAGTTATCTCAAGAGATGTCATGAACTTGCCAAAAAGTTGCTTGAATCAAAATTTTAATTCACATATTTTTATTGCTTTATTTATACCTTAGGCCCCGTCTACTTGCAAAGATTTTAAGGTAGCATCTAATAAAGGAGATACAGGTAATGTTAAAATAATATAAAAATAAAAGAGCAAAAAAAAAGTAGAAAGAGCGAGTAAAAATTAGGATTTTAAGTGCTTTGACTGAAAATTGAATTTAGCACTTAGCCTCTTGGAGGCCAAGAAAAAAACATATATGGTGAAATACATAATATATTTTGTAGTAGAAACTCTGATTTCAGCTACAGATACAGTGAACAGTAGTCCTGTGGGAGCTCAGAATGTCCCCCAGGGACTTCTCCCCATTTGCAGGAGTTCACTGGTGCAGTGAAGGGGGGCCAGCGCAAACAGCCCCGGGCACCCCTCACCCATGGGGCGTGGGAATGGTGCATGCCGCTGCAACTTTACATGCCTGGAGGGCAGCTCTGGGAGGCCTGTATACTTCTGGAGTCCTGGCTGGATCCAGCACCCATTGCCTACAGCGTTGGTCTTGATAACCTGATCTTGTATTGGCCGGTCCTCCTTTTCTGTCCTTTCTCCTTTCTGGTCCTTAGGGCCCCCTCACAATTAAACTCTCTGTGTCTAAGCTCTTGTCTCAGGCTCATCCCCTCCCCCTAATCCTATAGACCTTGGTCAGAGACAGGCAAAAACCAAACAACAAAAGATGGTGAATCCAACAATTCCTTGATCTCAGGGCTGGATGGGAAGTTGGGCACCCCACTCCTCAGGAACACTTTGTTTTAGAAAGGCCCCTTCTTTGTGCTCATCCTAGTGTCTGCCTTGGCTAAGAAACTGTATTCAGTTCTTGTAAACCAACTTCATGGTGTCCCTTGCCCACCCAGCCCCTGGTTGCCTGGGCAGACCCTGTTTTCTTCCAGGTCTCTCCACTCAGGGGTGCTCAATGTTCATATGCATATTAAAGGCCACCCTTAGTTTAGCCCAGGGGACTCCAATGTTTGCGTTAAAACCTTCAAGAAACAGCAGCCCCCACCTTTCTACTGATATTTCCCTCTGCAGACATCCTTCCAAGCAGGGAAGCAACTCTCCTATTTTCAGCATCACTGTTTAGGAGCTGGGTCTGTTTTGTGACAAGGACTGATGAAACATCTCATAGATTGGGCGGCCTCCTCTGCTATCCACCAGAACTGCTCCCTGCCCTCACCTCCCCTGCCAGCGGACACTGTCGTCGGTCAGGGTGCCCAGCTGTTGTGGGGCAGGTGTGGGTAGAAGCTGCTGTGGCTTCCTAGGGCTGTCCTCACACGGGCTCTGCCGGCCCCACTACCAGATCTGCACAACAGGGCCGTGGGGCCGATCCCATCTGCTGGCCACAGGTTCTGATCACGGACATTTCAACTTACTTTAGGCATCATTTCAGTTGAAAATCAACATGAATTCTTCACTCCATTGGGAAAATTTGCATTTGGAAGCCTGAGGCCAGCAGGTGCTACCTGGGGAGTGATGGAGCTTGGATGCTAGCCAGGTGTCACCCGCACCTGGAGAGTTTAGAATCAGAGGAGGGTAGCTGTCCCAGCCCTCTGCTGCTCACCCTGGGCCCTTCCTCATTGCCCCAACCCCCCGACCCCTGCCAGGCTTTTGAGCTCATTTCCTGACCCAGAGCTTCCTCCTACACCTTCCCGTGGACAGGCCTGGTTAGGACGCCCCTCCTGGTTGATGGCCCGTCCCAAGGAGGGTCTGCCCACTGCTTTCCTAACTCCCAAGCCCCCTAACAGAAGGAGATGGGCATGGATGAGCCCAGGCCCCAGGCTTTCCCACCTAGCCTTTTTAGGACTGTTGTGGTCAAAGGTTGGGGAGGATTAGAGGGCAGCAGCAGCATCTCCAGGCCCCCGATTTAATATCAGTGCAGCTCTCTGTCAGAGCCAGGCCCTTCTGCTCTTGGGGATGTGCTTAGCTCAGGTGTCTTTGATGTCAGTGTCTTCAGTGTTCTGTGGTCACTTCTACAAACCTCCTTTCTCTTGTTCTATTAGTCTCTTGAGCGTGTGGATCAAGCCTTTCATTTTTTCTCTTTCCTTGTAACCATTCTGTAAATGTGTAATGAATGAATAAGTAATTTGGGTTAGCTTAGCGGAAGTTATTCATACTGCTGTTTTCCCCTCAGTATGTCAGGTGGCCCATGGCCACCTTGCACAGCCTGCATCACTGATAGAAAATACAGATGTGTCTTGCATCCATTAAAAATGGTTCAAATGCTGGCCCAGACTCCAGCCTTTCTGGAGCCAGCCCCTTTCCGTACTCTGCTTGGCTTTAGTGGGAGTCATGGTTCCTGGAGCCCGGCTGACCATGTCCTGGCAGCAAGGGCAGCCTCTTACACTGAGCAGTGGCTTGGCATCCATAGCTTCATGGGGCTCTTGCATCTGGAAACAAGAGGGCTCATTTTCAAGGTGTCTTGGAAGTAGATATTAAGGCATGTGCTCATGAGTCCATCAGTCAGTCAGCAACCATTTCCTGAGCACTGTCTGCTCGCCGGGCACTGTGCCAGCCTGGGGATGCATTCATGAGCTCACCAGACATGGTTCTTGCCCCAGTGGAACTCACAATTTAGCAGGGGAGCCATGGGAATATTAAGCAAATGATTATCAGGGGGGAAAAGTCTTGCAAGCCATTCCCCTTCCAGGTGAGTCCTGGGGCTTGGATTCATACCCATAGTTTTCCCAGAAGCGTGTCAGTCCTGGAGAAGACTGTGGAATTTTCTCCAAGCAGCTGGTAAGCACCTAACATTACCATTTAGCATGAGGGACTCTACCTGGGATCTGGCTTACCGTGTGACTGCTCTGACTCTCTGTCTCTTCATCTGTGAAATGAGGGACAGCAACATAGAATTCTCAAGGTGAATTCCATGGAACACTAATCCCAGAACATGCCCTAGAGAAAAGGATTTCCTGATCAAGTAAATTTAGGAAACTCTGGGGATAGAGGAGATACATATGTATATTTTCCCCCCTCTTCTAGATTCAGGGAGATACATATGTATATTTTTATATTCAGGAGATGCATATGTATAATTTTTCCTCCTCTTCTAGATTCAGGGAGCATGATAAAGGCTCTGAGAAGTCCTGAAGTACACGATCCTGTTTCGCTTTGTTGAATATTAACCTTTTTAAACCTTTTGACCCAGATCCCTCTATTCACATGGCACTTATTTTCCTGAGGCTCTGAGACCCTACAGAGCCTGCTGGGCCATAGACCCTTGAAGGCCCTCTGCTCTGCATGCTGTAAGCAGGTCTGGTGATGCCCTGGGCTGGGGGCAGAGTTGGCGTGGGGCAGTGGCCCCAGACTCTGTAGCGTCTGGCGCCCCTCCTTCCTTAGTGATGACCAGGCCTGTGTGAGAGCCGGCTGTGAATTCCCTGCAGTGGGTTCTGGAGACATTTTAAGACACTCACCGGTGGTGGCACAGCCTCGGAATCCACAATCATTCTTAATTGGTCTCAGAATCATCAGCTCGGAAAAGCATCTGTCAGGGGAAACTTGAGCAGTGTTCAGAGTCCCATTAATAATTCAGCCGACGAGCTCCTTCAGACGCAGGCCTCCCGCCCTCGGGACTCACTCGTCTCCTGCCTCCAGAGACGTTGCGGGGAGAGCTCGGTCACGTCACTGGTGTGAACGAGTCAGGCAGCCGTGCCTCCGCGCTCTCCCAAAAGCTCCAGAGCCTCATCGGTCAGAACAGGGAAGACTGACGCAGGTTAATCCCAATCGAATGCCGTCAGCCGCTGGGAAGCGGGGCTTGCTCGGGAGGCCCTGGGGGGCGGGTGCCGATGGCAGGCTTCGGAAAGCCCCTTGTGCTGGGGTGGGGCACTTGTCCACCATGATGGGTGGGAGGGCGCCTCCACTTCTTCCTATGCCTGTAGTCTCCCCAGCCATTCAGAAAAAATATAGGATTTTCTTTTTTTTTTTGTAAGTAAGAGGTTTACACCTTGAAGGCACCTAAAATATTGGTTGAATTAGTTCTAGCTACTTAGATCTGGTTGTCATTCCCATTTAGTAGAACAATAGAATGTCACAGCTCAATGGGAACATAGAAACCATCTCATCTAGCTCCTCCAGTTTTCAGTTAAGAAAGTGAGGCCAGAGAACAGGGACTCTCTCACGGTCGCCCAGTGGTTCTTCACAGAGCCGGGCTGGTGCCCAGACTCCTGGCTCACAGCCCCTCATCCTGGCCACCCTGCCTCCAAGCACCTGAGCTCAGCATTCTTGGGGTGCTGCAGACAGCCCCAGGCACTTCCTTCCCTGGTGCTGAGAAGCTTAGGGGAGCACATCTGCCCCCAGTGTCATGCTGGTGGGGTGGTGCGGTAGGTTTGTTGGGTGTCGTCAGTAATGTGAAAGTAAAAGAGCTGGAGACTCTTCCCTCCTCTCAGATTCCTGCTAGGTGGTGGAGCTTGGGGCTGGCACTCACCTGGTCGCATCCCCTGCCCTTGCTGAGGAGTCCAGCACTGGAATCAGCCTTCTCCACCATTTGTAGGTTCTGCTGGGGCCCAGCTGCGGGGTGCTCAGGCGGGAGGTCCTTTCTGGCTAGACACTGGGCCAGTTTACCACCTTCCCCGGGAGCCTAGAGGGTTGGGGAACAGTCAGGGGGAGATCAGAGCCTTGTCTTGCCCATTTGCAGTTTTAACCTCAGCCCTTTTAGACTATTGAGGGGTGCAACAGACTGAATCATTATCTCCCCAAAATTCATATGTTGAAATCCTTACCCACAATGTGATGATATTAGGAGGTGGGGCCTTTGGGAGGTGATTTTGTCATGAAAATGGAGCCCTCAGACATGGGATTAGTGCCCTTCTAGAAGAGACCTCAGAGAGCTCCCCAGCCCCTTCCACCATGTGAGGACATTGGGGGAAAGAACAGCCGTCCATGAACTGGGAAGGCTGCCTTCACCAGACACAGAAGTTTTGGGCACCTTGGTCTTGGACTTCCCAGCCTCCAGAACTATAAATAATTAATTTCTGTTGTTTATAAGCCACCCAGTCTATGGCACTTTGTTAGAATAGCCTGAATGAGGACAGAGTGGGTGGAGGAAGACAAACTAGGGCCCTGGGGGCTGGAGTTTCTCATGGAGGCTCCGTCTAGATGCCTTTAGAGATGACTCATCAGCACCCGCTGTACAGATGAGGACACGGAGGCCCAGCGAGGGCAGCCACGTGTCCAGGGTTACGGGCCGGCTGATGGCAGGGCTGGGATAACTCACAGGCTGCCCAACCCCGCCTCCTGCAGAGTCACCGCTGTAGGCCCTCAGCCTTTCTAGTTCGGGCTGTCATCCTCCCGGATGGGACCGGCACATCTGCTAGCCCAAAAGGCCTCCTCTGTACCTCTGTAGAAAGTAAAGAGGAGGTGTAGGGAGCAGGGACACTCAGCGTGGCTGATGAGGGTTTTGCCGTGGGGTGTAGGGGCAGATGAGATGGGAACGTTGGTTGGGGCCAAGCAGCAAAGAGAAGCGCTCAGAGGCTGTGAGTTCAGCAGAGGACGGTGGCTTAGGAGGTCAGTCTGCAGGCCGTGAGTGCCGAGAGGAGGGAGAGGAGCAGAGGTGCAGACGAGCCTGGGTCATGGTCCCAGCTCCATCCCTCCTGGACACAGGGACCCAGGCTTGCTGTGCCAGAGGGAGCCCCTGCTCTCATAGCCATTCTTTTTCTTTGACTCTGAAGCTGAGTTCGTGAGCTAGTTTCTACCCAGAAGGTGTAGAAAGAGGTAGCCAGACAGGGACTTGGCAGGCCTGAGTGGAGGGCCGACCACGTCCTCAGGTGAAAAGCAGATGTCTCAGCCTTGCTAGGAGGCCTCAGCCCCCCACCCCCACGGTCTCCAAGGCCCTGTAGCTCAGCGAGGCGCTGCAGAAGTGCAGCTTTGTGGAGGGCAGGTGTGTGGGACCCAGGGAGGGGCTCACAGGCCACCTGCTGTAATGGCGGCCCCAGCACATGCCACACACACTCACAGACCCCTGCCTGCAAGCAGCAGGGGGGCACCTCCAGGCCTGACTGCAGGTGAGGGTTGGGGAACAAGTTCTGGGAGCCCTGACCCCTTGGGGAGCAGGCCAGGGCTCTGGGGTGGCACGAGGAGCTGGGCCAGCCAGCAGCCTGCCCCCTTCTCTGGTCCCTCCAGCTCTGTGAGCACCCTGAGTTGCCTTGTCCTCCTCTCTGGGACCCCACTTTGTAGGTGCTCAGTAACTGGGCCACAGAGAAAGGACACCCTGAATGAAATGAGAATGATGAAACAGGTTTAACAGTCAAGCTACTAAGTGCTTCTCCTGGAACTCGGATCATCTGAGGAAAAACCCTCAGGGATAACAGCAATGCCAACCATCATCGCAGGTATTCAGAGATGTTTGCACTTCTATTGCTGCTGCTGACAGGAATGATAATACTTGTTCATGTCACTGGGATGCACCTTGTGCCGGGTACTATGCTCAGCACTTTATGTGCAGTGTCACTTAATCCTCATGGCAATTCTGTAAAGTGGATATGAATATTACTCCCATTTTCCAGACGAGAAGACTGAGGCACAGATTGTTTACACGTTCCCTCAAGGCCAGCCTCAGAGCCAGGACTGCACTCAGCCTGGGGCTCTGTGCCAGGCTCCCATCTCTGTGGCCACGTGGGGGGACCTGGGCAGCAGGGGCAGTGGTGGTGCTTGGGGGGGCACCCCCACCAGGAGGGGCAGCTACTGTGTCCAGTGGGAGCGGCAGCCCTCCACTGCATGCCTCCCTCTGCCCTCCTCAGAGCGGATCACCCTGCCCTTGGATCCCCGCTGCAGGCCTTACAAGATGGTAGAAATCTAAGCTCTTCATTTTCAGAGAAAAGAGAGAGACCACCTGAGCCTTGAGTGCAGTCTGATCCTGGAGAAATGTAGCCGGTGCCCCAGTCATCCGCAGGAATCCCGCAGGCCCAGGGGGAGGAGGTGGCTGTGCATCCCAGGGGGAGCAGGACAGAGCCCCTGCCCCCACCAGCCCCTGGCCCTTCCGCCTGCCCTCCCCCTCCAGCCAGAGCCCCTGGCCTTGTTGTTTCAACTGCTCAAGCATGCTTACCAGCTATTGTTCTTGGAAGTGTTTCTGTGATCTTAGGACCTTTGAGAAAAGAACAAACAGCTAGGAAAACACAGGGTAGTTAAAAATGTTTGTGATTTTTGTGCTGTATGGAACAAAAGAGGCATTCAGGAGATTCAGCATTGTTCTGGGGAGCGAGGATGAAACAGCTCTTGGAGGCCTCCTCTCCTTTGGGGGCACCCAGCTGGCCTGTGGAATGTGGTGAGAGCCTCTCCAGAGTCAGGCACCTCCTCTGCTTAGGGTCACTTTTACTCTCTCGGTTTCTAGTTCATTCTTTCTGCCTTGTTGGGAGAAGTGGCTCAGTGTTATCACCTGATCACAGTCATTTCATACTAGCTACCCACATCCCTTGCTGGGTACTTTCAATTACCTGGCCTCGACAGGAATAGTTATGACTTTAGTCATAATTATATGACAATCTATAGCTCACATAGTAATTTCATGTGATTTCCATTATTGGATCTTTATATCAGTTTCATTATATAGGTGTTATCTTCACTTTTTTTTTAAAATTAAGAGATGGGGTCTTGCTCTGTTGCCCAGGCTAGAGTGCAGTAGCTCACTGCAGTCTCAGACTCTTGGGCTCAAGCAATCCTCCTGCCTCAGCCTCTCAAGTAGCTGGGACTACAGTAACACACCTAATTTTTTTTATTTTTTGTAGAGATGGGGTATCACTGTTGCCCAGGCTGCTCTCAAGCTCCTGGCTTTAAGCGATCCTCCTGTCTCAACCTCCGAAAGTGCCAGGATTAAAGGCATGAGCCATGGCCCTCTATCACCACGTTCTCAAAGACAAAACTGAGGCTCAAAGCAGGGAGGGGACCTACCTGATGTTGCACAGCTAACAACAGAACCTCCATGGAACACAGTGCTCTTAGAACTCTCCTGAAGATTCTTCCTTCAGGGAACTAAATGTTGAAAGCTTACTCCATAGCTTTAAAACATTGTGTACCCACTCTTTATCCATGCCAGATATTCCAAGTACTGGTGCCCCAAACTCCTGGCTGGGTGCCTCTCCTTCTGAATGGGTAGGGTTGCGATAGTGAGGTCTGTGAAGGCCCCGCTTTCCAGTGTCCTTCCCCAGCAGTTCGGCATGCCCGGTGCCCCGCCACAGCCCACAGCCCTTCGGAAGGTGACCATAAGGAAGCCAAGACGTTCCTTTGCCTTCTGAAGGACATGCAGCCTTCTGCCCGTGAAGGCAGCCCGTGCCTTCTGCCATGTCCACATCTCGTTTAATTGTGTAGCGTTTCCTGCGCAACTTGTGGCCAGACAAGCTCAGAGAAGTGCGCTGGGAGCCAGGTATGGAAGCTGGGGTGTGGTCATCTGGGTTGTCACACCAGAGGTGGCCAGGAACGGGCTTCTCTCTCATCCTTCAGAGGAGGGCTCTTGTGGAAATTGGAAGGGACTTTAGACCTGCCTTCCTCCCTGCCCTGTGCCACGTCTTCAAGATTCTTGTCATAGAGATGGTACAGGCTTGCCCTTTGGGGGCCTTAGGGATCTGGGGTCTTTGTCTGCATCCTGTGAAAATCCCCGTTTCACTGGGGGACCTGCCGTCAGGAAATTCCTTAGATGAGTGCTCAGCACAGGGGGAGGAACAGGGATGTTTAGTTAAGATACGAGCAAGCCAGGGGGGTCGAGGGGAGCATTATCTCTGTCCTCATGTTCGACAGGAAATGCACTTGTTCCCTGTGTCCCCAAGGGGACAGGACGGGGAGCAGAGAGTAGAAGCTTCAAGGGGTGAAACTCAGCACAAGGTAAGAAACTCACTAAAAAGTGTAGTTTTCAGAGAATAGCCCATGTCATCCTGACAAGAATGAGTCTCTTCTCTCTGGAAATTTCCAAGTGTTATTGTGATGGGAAGGCTGTGGCACAGGGACAGGGAAGGGGAACTCGGGTGCTGGGTGGGCACTGCGGTGAGCACTTCCCCACGACACCTGTTGGCATGTAACCAGTGCCCTCCACAGTGTCCTTCAGTGACAGCGACCCCCAGAGCCCAGCCCCGGGCAGGTGCCCAGAGACGCAGGGGTCAGGGGCCCCTCTCTCTTTCCTCGTGTGGAGCCATGCTTTTGGCTTCAGCCTTAATTTCTCCAAGTGATGGTGATCATGATGGGCCTCTCGCTGATTGCTATCGAGGAGAGGAGCTGAGCAAGCGCAGCTTGGCCGTCAGGACTGGTGGCTCTGTGACATCTTATTTCCACTTCACGCCCTACAGATGGTGGGAGAGGTTTGCTGAGAACAGCAGCCGGGTAGACAGTGGCGAGTCTTCCTTGCAAGCAGTGCTGTGAGTTGGAAGCGTGGATTGAGGGAGAGCAGGGACTCACAGAACTGTGACCTTTGCACTTTCATCACCTCATCAGCGCAGGAACGGGGTATGCACGTGCACGGGAGAGACAGAGACAGGGAGGATGCATGTACTTTCCTTCTTCCTTTGCATGCTACTGCCCCTACACCAAATCACTCACTGAACGACTTGGAATCCCTCCATACTTTTATCTATGCTTATAAAAGTCATAGATAGCTGTGTACACACATAAACACACACAGAGAGGCATGGTTACTTTTTTTAAAAATTGTTTTACAAAAATAGGATCCTATTAATCAAATTTACTGCATATTGCTCATCAATACTTCATAGAAAAATCTTTCAAGTTAACTGGTGTACCTCTTATTTCATTCTGTTTGTTTATTCCACAGAATAGATGGTCCATATTTTATTCAACCATTCTTATTTTGATGGGCATTCACGTCATCCCCAGTTTTCTCATTATAAACAACACTGCCATAAACACTGTTGTACGTGTGTGTCTTTCCAAACAAGTGCTTTTTTTTCCCCATGCAGAGATTCTCAAGAGTAAGAGAGCTGAGCTGAAGGGTATATGTATATTTATTTTTGATGGATGTTTCCAGATTGTTTTCCCAATAAACTACAATTGTCATTTCCATTAGCGGGATGTGAGGATACCTGTTCTCCGACTCCTACAGCATTCGTTGGTATTTCCTTGTGCGTGCTGGCTGGTCTGGTGGGTGAACCATAACATCTCATTGTTGCTTTGATTTTCATCTCTCTGACTCCTGGGGAGTCTCAGCATTTTCTCATATGATGATCTGCCATTTGAGTGGCTCTCCTGTGAATTACCAGTTGTGTCCTTTGCCTATTTTTCTCCCAGGGCTCCAGTGGAGAGAACAGGACTTTCGGGCTCAGGCAGACAGCAAGGGTGCTCTTCCACTGCAGCCTTTACCTGGTCCTGGTGATGAGCAGCTCTCCGTGGCTTTTCCTTCCCTTTCGTTATCCTTCTTACTGTTCCTTTGGCCCAGATTTTAGAGTCCACAAAAATGGGAAATTAAGTCATATTGCCTCATGGGCCCCAGGCTAGGGGTGAGGGGCACAGGAAGCGAAGGTGCAAGCAGGTGGGAGCTGCCGGGTTGGCCTGTGGGTTACTTCTGCTGCTTCTCTCTTGCGTGCCGGGCACGTTCCTCAACTTCTTGCTGATGTGAAAGCTGCACCTGTGAAATAGGGAACAGACACTTGGCAGTGCACCTATAAATAGTCCAGATCGTCACTGATGTTCATGAAGCTTAAAGTCTTGCTACTCAAAGTGTGCTCCAGGACCAGTCTCAGACTCCACCCCAGACCTACTGAGTCAGAACCTGTGTTTTAACGAGATCTCCAGGTCATTCACATCACGTTCAAGTTTGAGAAGCGCTGGCTTAAAGCATTCTGATTAGAGCTTTGAGAACAAAAAATCCAGTAGAACTTACTTGTCCAGAAACTTTGCTGCAATTTAGAATTTTTTAGATGTGTCCATAGATTCAACATGGTGTGGATTAGACAGCTCACAGTAGAAAGCACATTCAAGAGAAATGCACATCACAAGAGAAAGCACATTCTTTCTCTTGATCTTGAGATCTTGTAGTGCATGCCACCTAACAGAATATAGCACCCCTCCCCCTTGGGTGACAGGAAAACTTGATATACCCAAATCCAGCTGGTTTTCCCTGTCCCTGAGCCTCACAAACCCACCAAGCCCACACTAACAAACAGCCCACCGCCACCATCCCAACTCCATTTGTGGCAAATCCTCCATGCTTCACCTGCGTGACTCAGGCTCTCTGCCTTCTCTTTGTGGCCCAGTTCCACATCCCTGGCCCTGCCACCTGTCCTCAGCCTCTCTCTCTTGAGCCTGGCACAGCCTCCACTTCTCTAGTTTTTACACTCAACTCCGCCCATCAGACCTTCTCACCCTCTGGACAAATGCCACTAGTTACCCTCTAGCTCTGCGGTCCCCAGTCCCCGTTCCGAGACCCATTACTGGTCCATGGTCTGTCAGGAAATGGGCCGTTCATCACGCCTGAACTCCTCACCACACCCCCACCCATCACATCCCCCCACAATCCCCAGTCCGTGGAAAAATTGTCTTCCATGAAACCAGTCCCTGGTGCCCAAAAGGTTGGGGACCGCTGCAGCTGACAGAGGCCCCGCCCTTCATTTGCTCTCTTATCCTGCACCTGCCACCTTCCCACCTCAACCGCGGATGTCCACGCTCTGCTCTAAGGTGGGAACACACAGGGCTTCCTGCCAGGGCCACGTGAAGGAGTCACTGGTCTGTACTCGGCATGTGCACTGCGGCTCCTCTGGCCTTTGAACTTGCTTGGATTATGAGGCGTGGTTTGTCAACCAGGGATCCATGCAGGAAACAGAAACTACTCCAGGTACTTTGAACACAGGAGTTTAATATTGGGAATTAGGTGCTTACAGCATTGTTGGAGAGGCTGAAAAGGCAGGTTCTGGGCTGGGTCTTTTGAATGCCTCCCAGCTGGTACAGAAGCTGGTTCAGAAGCTGGTACAGAAGCTGGCTGCCACAGCCATTTCTGCTGGCTTCTGCATCAAATGCTGTTCATCTGGGGTCATTAGGATTTCGTGTCCAACCCTGGTCTTTGTTATTAAACATGTAAATGGACTCTCAGGAAGCTGCAGGAGGGACACTCTAAGTTGAGGTGCAGGGGTTACCAAGTGCTCACACGAAACCACCACCACAGCCCTGCTTTTTTGATACCCAGGAAGCTGCAGCGTGACGTCTGGCTTCAGGATGACCATGACCTTCTAACAAGCAGTGACAGTCAGAAGCTGCATTCCCACCTTGCACATCTTGTGCGAGCACATCTGATTTCTTTTTGGCAGGACCTGACTCCCCTCCAGAGCTCCAGCTGCCTAGGAGTGTGGGAAGCATAGTTTCCCCCATTCCCATCTCAACAGGAGGAGGAGCAGAGGGAGTTTGTTGGGAGCCGACCACGTAGCCTCAGCTAGGTAGGATTTGGACAGGTGGAAGTGGGTGGGGCCCTCCTGCATCCACACACCAAAAGTCAGCCCCCCACGCAGCCCAGCGGAGCGCCTGCACCCAGAATGCCCCAGTTTCTTCCAGACTTGGCTTTAGCACCTTCTGCACATGGCAGCCTCCTCTGTGGGGTGAGCTTTTCCTTCTCAATGACGTGGTTCCACTGTACCAGTGAGGAGACCATGGTGTTTCTTCACTACTCTGCTTTTCTAAGCACATAACATACTGCTACTTTCCTGAGTGCCCCCAAAACGATTTCTATTTTTACTTGATTACTGTTTTATTTGATTCCAGAGTGACAGACTTGACAGAGGTGTAGGGGATATGGCTGCTCTGAGTCCTGCTGGCTTCTGCATCAAATGCTGTTCATTTGGGGTCATTAGGATTTTGTGTCCAACCCTGGTCTTCATTATTAAACATGTAAAGGGGTATTCTCCCTGCATTGTCATTAGTAGGAACTTTTTCTTGCTCATAACATGGTTGTATGATGTGACTGCCTGCAGGCTTAGGGGAACA